TCTCTAAGTCATGCACGTGACGATTACAACACTTGGAACGATTGCACCGTCATCGAACATATAAAGAGGTCTCGATGAACCAATGCCTCTAGTTCGATCGGGACATATGTATCGAAGGGACCGTACTGTACGTTAACTATATCTGAAGGTTCTTGCAGGCACTTCATTTGTATCTAGGGAATCATGACGCGTAGTTACTAGACACCAATCTTGATTCGTTGGGTGATTAAGGTGAAACAAGCTTCATCTTAATCGTAACTCTAAGGGACGAGTTTTGACCACAAAGAGTTGTGGGCCCACGGCTAGCTTACACTTGAACCATCGAGGGTCACACTGCTCGTGCACATGAGATCTTTGAATAAACATTCAGAGATAAAATAGTTTATCTTTGCATGATTGGAAGTCAATACGATTGAGTCCAACGTTCGTAATTTGGAATTACGAATGAGAATAAGAAAAGGAAAAGAATAGGCGAGCGTTGTAGTGGACTTTCTAAATCGGGAAGTTTCCAAATTTAGAAAGTGCACTGAACTAGGGTTTCCACTTTTAGAAAGTTGGAAAATGAGAGTTGACACTCGTAATGACGAGGATTTTATAATGATTCCGAAAATGTAACCGTTGCAATTTTTCGGTCATTGGATTGAGAGAAACGAGCAAGTAAAAGTACTAGCGAACTTAAGCTGTTGGGCCCGGTCCAACTTAAGCCCGCTAGGGTTTTATGCAAGACACTATAAATACAAGATTTATAGGTCTTGCACAGAAGTGAGAAAAAACCCTAACCCTAGCCGACACACTCTCTCTCTCTCGGCCACTCTCCCAGCGGCCACCACCGCGGCGCCGTCGCTCCGCCGTCGCCGGAATCGGCCATCAATCGGCCGATCCCTTTCGGTACTCTTTTCTTCTTTCTTTTTCTTCCGTTATTTCTAACTATTACGTGTCTAGTGCCACGTTTTTAGTAGATCGAAGTATACGAGGTGAAATCCGAGAGGAGGAAGATCGAAGATCGAAGAATCGAGTAGCAGCACACGAGCCGAAGCCGCACGCGATCCCACGCGCCGCCCCGAAGACCGCGCGTGAGATTCACGCGCCGCCGTGGCCGTTTCGCCGCTGCTGCCGTCGCACCACTGCTGCCCCGGATTGTACGGATTGGTTTCCGTAGCAATCTCGACTTGCTTAGCGCTCCTACCTCACGCTTCAAGAGGTAAACACACGAATTCATGTTCTTGATTCGTTTACGTTTAAACAATATATTCATGTTCGTTCTCGTATGATTTTATGTGGTTACGTGAAATCGTTTTAATTGTTACGAGCATGTTATTTGGTTTAAACGCGAGCATGTTAATTGATTTAAATTCGGTTAAATAAATTAGCATGTATGTTGTTATTTAATTTCGCTGGAAGCGCAAAGGTACGCAATTAATTGATTTATATTATCGGGCATGTGCTTATGTGTTTTAAACTCGTTTAATTCGCATAAAATTTTTGTTTTCCACTGCGTACGCGTGCCCGAAACCCAACAGCTGATTATATCTTGACATGCAGTCATGAGAGCGGACCGGCGCCACGGACGAAATGGATGTCAACAGATATGGGGTTGGCGATCGCTACAAGATACAACGCAATGGTATTAATATTCACTGAACGGGGTAGCATCACTTATCTACCACTCGTTGGGAACCCCGCGTTATCACGTATTATTCCTATGTCGCTACATAACGATCATTTTATGATCATACGAGTACCGGTTTCATGCCCTCTTCCTCGTCTCCATCCTCAGTGGAGGTATTTTGCAGCTCCCAATTTACTACATCTACGAGATTTTTACGCGGATCGACTTGCTTTTTGGACGACGTTGACTTCTAGGCATAGGTAGTACTGTATTATTGTAATTTTGTTGAACAATTACTTGATTTTGTAAATTAATAATTGTTGAACTATTAGTTGAGTTTGTAAAACTAATTATTATTAGTCAAATTTCACATGGGAAAATCGAAAAAAAAAAAAAAAAAATAAATAATTTGCTCATGCGTTTTCACACGCACAGAGGCGTGTTGCACGTGTGATTTCACACGTGCAAAACGCCTCTGTGCGTGTGAAAACGCACGAGCAAATTTAAAAAAAAAATTAAAAAAAAAAAAAAAGACTGACGTGGAAAAGTACTCGTGTGTTAACACACGAACAGAGACATTCTACTCGTGTGTTTTCACACGAGCAGAACACCTCTGTTCGTGTGAAAACGCACGAGCAACACACTATTTTTTTTTTATCTTTTTTTGATTGTTTTTTTTTATTCTTTTATTCGTTAATAATACAAATTAAAATATAATTGCGTTCGATACAACATAATTATAATCCGTACAAATAAATAAATAAGTAAGTCCGATAACAACGTAATTAAAATACGGGCAAATAAGAAAAATTCGCAAATCCAAAATGAAACATCCGTACAAAAAACTAAATCCGAAAACAAACAACAAATCACAACACACGAATACCAATAGTCAGGTGCAAATAAAAATCATACATTAGCAAAAAATCCGAAACTAATACACAAGTCCATGCAAATAGGTAACATGTCCTACTGTCCACCTCTCCACGAAAGCTAGCATGAGGTTCTTGTTCATCCTCATCAGAAAACAGTCTCGTAAGTGGTAAAGACCTGTTGCCTCCAGCCTCGCAATCATCGTGTTATCCTGTGGGCCGCGGTAGTCCTCGAGTGCTTTGGTCCTCGACTCGCACCGTGTAGTTTCACGGCGCTCCTGAAAAATATTGCATGTATTGTTAGCTAAACAAAATGAATAATATAAGAATTATGTAAAGCACGTGTTGACAGAAAACTTACATATCCTTCCCAAATGTGCATCGCTATATGCGACTTGAACCATCGCATAAACTCGTAATTTTGTGGCCCTCCCTCGCACGGACCCTCCAAGTACGCCGGACCACGCAGCTGCGGAAAGGGTAAGGCACGACCACCTCTACGATCCTGATATACATCTGCTGGCTCATCATCTTCCTCCATCTCCTCGTCAGTATCCATATTATCGGGATTTTTGTTGTGGTCATCATCGTCGTCGGCATGTGGCAATGTACTACGAGCTAGCTGGAGATCGCGTGTAGGTCCACAGGGTCCGGCTCCAGCTGCAACAGCTTCTCGTCTCAGTCTCTCTTCTTCCCGTTGTAACGCTGCTTCTCGAGCTAACTGTTTTCTTCTACGGGCGGAAGCAAGGACATCTCGGTCTCCAATGCGATCCGGATCTTCCGAATTGTCACCCTTCCCGCTCAAGGCTTTCATTAAGCTCTTGCCTTTACCGGCAACTTGACTCATAAGACTTTTCCCCCGGCCTCCTGCCATCTACATTTTTTACAACGAGCCGAACAGGCGGCCGCAGAGAGGGTGACTTTGCTGCCTGCCTCTTAAAAAAATCGTAAAAAAC